CACAAGACCGAACCCTCATTCAAATACTGGGATTTTTGGAATTGATCTAAGTTGATGTAGGTTGAGTGCATATTAGATACAGCAGACAGATGGCTGTCCCTATAGACACTGTACTTTTTCAAGTGATTCCAGCCGTAGTGGTCGTTATGTCCAATGTCCTTGGGATACTACAAGCGCCGCCCGGCCAACACGGTGGAAGATTGGTTTCTGCTGCTTAGGAAATTTAAGACCATTCTGCCCAGTAGCAAATCCAACCGGTATCGAGTTCACATCGAACTAGCTGCGTGGCCATCGAACCATGATGGTAACGGTCTCAATTCCTGCCCCTCCAAACTTCCCTAGGTCCATTGCAAAACATTCTAGTACCCGGAATCCACACTTTTCATATAACGATCGCGCCATATTACTGCTTTCTAGGTAAATGGGAAGTTGGGTTCTGTCTGCCTCAGAAATCCCCCATCGGAGAAGTGTGTAGGCAGCACCACGTCGAGAAAATCGTGGATCGGTCATTAGCATATCTAGATCTGCATTGTACGACTGTCAATATAAACGCGACCCACAGCGAAATTTTGACATACGATAAAGTGGTTGAGTGCCCATGACATCTCGCATGTATTCATGAAGTCTCATGTGAAAGGCCTCCTTTGCTCTGTCTTGCCATTTTTTCGGGCCTGAATCGGAAGTGGCAGGTTTTTTGGACTGGATTTCGCATTCGTCCCTCGGTACTGGATAGATTTTCCATCTTGCGCAGGCCATAATATCACCGGTATCAGGTTCAATGACCTTTTGAAAGTACACACTTGGATCTTCTTTCATCATTTTGCGTTGATTAAGGCGGAAAATTTCCGCTGTCTCTGCGCTGGGTGCGTAGAGAATTCGAGCCGTTTGCGAAGGAAATGCGGCAATCTGCATACGAACGAATTCGTCTATATCCGACTCTTCTAACGTTGCGATTTTAAGCGGGGAATTTGGAGGTGAAGGCATTTTTCCTGAGTTGAAAGTACCGTGGCGTAAAGAAGCCTTACCTAACACGGACCTCGCGCCGGGGCTCCAGCGACTTAAGTACACTCAAACTCGAAATTGCCTTCCGTATTCTACAGAAACTTTTGATCCCGGATTTTAAAGAGGCTAAGCCAATATTGTGCGGCTATACCTCTTTGAGCGATTTTGTGGAGTCTGGCACTTGTATTTTTTGGGATTATTATCCAAGAACATAGATCTTGGTAGTTGCCACGGAAGGCAAGAGGAGTAGCGACGACAGCTTTTTTTCATAACCCCAATCATTTTGGCTAGGGCGTAGGGTGTAAGGCGTAGGGTGTAAGGTGTAAGACGTAGGGTGTAAGGCGCAGGGTGTGGGGGTGTACTGTATGGGGCGCAGGGTGTGGGGGCGTACGGTGTGGGGCCCAGGTAAATTCTCGGATCTATTCCGTTGCCTGCTCTTTGGGTCCTTTGCAGAGTACAGATCATCCTGTTGTATTGGCAAACTCGAATACAACCCCACGCACGAAAACTCGTTCATAACAAATTTTCTGTCATTCACAAAGTTTGCCTAGTTCTATTCTAATCATAGCTGTGTGTATTTTTATCTCTTCCATTTCTCTTCATTTATCGGGCCGTAAATATCTCATCTTCCCTCTTTGAAGCTCCATCAAGGATATGAAGAGAGCCTTGCCAGACGATAGAGCTCCCTATTCGGACGGTACTGATTGGAGCTACCCATTGTGGGAGCAGGAAGTCACCGGCACAATATAATTGGAGCTACTAATGGCAATAATGCCGGGGGTTCTTTTAGCGACGTGAGAGCCCCAAGTCAATATCAGTCGCCGCACGCTAACGAATGTATATGATCAAGCTACCTGATCCTGCCCTTTATCCTGAATCTCGATCTTTTTATGTGCCGCAAGATGCGCATCAAGTACTAGGCATACTATTCGTTTTACCATTCACACTGCTACTCTCTGTGGAATTGTTGATATTAGTACGAACTAGGGAAAGTCTAGCCAGTATTATGAGGTACGGCATGTTTTGTCATGTGTTTTCCTCTCATCCCTTTTTCCAACTTTCGCCTATTTTTCAGTATTCTAATAGTAAACAGGGATTGCTTGCAAGTAAGCCTAGTTGGGATGTTGAACATGGGCTTATTTATAGTTTATCACTCTCCTGGTCATCAAGGAATACCTATTTTCCTTTTCTTGTTCGCATTCTTCTCGTCTTTATCATACTATATACTGTATTGTATCATTGTCGACAGATGGAGGAGGGAGGAACCTTACGTGGACCTTGTATGGGCCAGCCTGCCACAGCAAAGTTTGGACGCTGAATTAAAAAGTATATCTGTCACACAGGATGAAAGTATGATACTGGCCGTCTCATTATCATAATATCTATCGTAACAATAAATTCTACCTCGGTTGTATAGAGTATCCTGGGCTCTGTTCAAGAATCAGTTTTATAAGCAGTATAATATGTAGGTTTATCAATTCTAAACGATACTAACAAAATTTCACTCATTCACCATATAAATGCTTCTCACGCCCGGAGAATCTTATGGTGACAATAGAGCGACTCGGTCCTCGACGTTGTGACAAAGCTGTGTTAGCATTTTCCAAGTGCGGAATGATAGAAAGAAAGCTAACTTGATAGTTCCAGCTTCCTGGGTCACATTTGACAGACTCAAATTGGGAACCCGTATACAAAGATAGGATACACCTCATCAACACGACTTGAGGGAACAGCCACGGCTGTAAAGCACGTTATGGGGCCAATACCACGTCTTGTCTCTGCTCGATCACTGGTGGACAGTAGAACTTGTATTGAAAATTTCCTCTCATCGGACTTCGCCGAAGTAGTTTCTGTAAATATATCATACCGTGCCTGTTTTCTGTAGACGCTTCTCTCTGGCCCTGGAAATGATGATGCGGATTCTCGTATAGAGTTCAATGCCTTACCCTTGTACTACAGTGGGGAGCCAAAATAACTCGTCTGACCCACTTGCTTGCAAATTATTCTGCCACTTTTTCTGCCTCGCAAAAACCTCGCAAATATCATCAAATTGAAGCTCAATACTTAGTATACCATCCATCTCCCTCGATAACAGCCTTTACACGACGAGGCATTGAATCAGCAAGTCTCTCAAATACCCCCATATCTATCTGTGACCATGCCTCTGCTGCAGTAGTAATTAATAGCTCCCTAGTCTCTTCATTATATGGTAGTTTACCACGTAATTCAGGACAAATTTCATAGATTTTTCTGTCAACTTTGGTGATATCCGTATTGACTCGTACTGGTCATGGCCTATCGAGGGTCCGAATGGTTGATTGATTGCTCTAAAAGAGTGTCTATCCCACGATCCTGTTGAATAGGTGATCCTGGTGACTATGTGATCTATCAGATCTACGCTGCATGTTACGATACAGTTCTTTCCGACATGGCCCGATTTACCATACAAATACTAGGCAATGTGGGCAGGGGCTGAAAACACACTAACACTGAGATAGTGGTAATTTACCACATCTCAGGTTGACAGTAACTTCAAAGGAGGCACTAGGTAGTACGCTAAGTAGGTCAGTCCAAAGAGCTTCCCTACTTATAGTATGTTTGTTATAAGAGATAGAACTGAATAAAGAGTAATCCCAAAGGTATACTGTAGTAACTTAGATTGATTAGTCGTGAAGAACTAAATATATATGTGTAGCGAGCGTCCTATATATCCTAGTTCTTTCCTATTGTATCGAGAGGATCCCTTGCTATTCCTAGGGTTAGGTCTATTCTATCCGAACGGATAGGTTAGCATACACTAGTTGTACGATCCTTCTGTTCCTGCGGTGGTTCCTGCTGTAGGATCCCCTATAGTCTTCCTTTAGCTACCCTAAAACTGTGGTTTGTCTTGCGATAACCTTGTCCTTGCGATATATTGTATCGTAGGATACAGCCTATCACACGGGTCGTCCCGTCGTGGGTTAGTAGGGTTCGTACAATATATTCTACCCTAGGTACCAATCCTTCCTAAGGATTTTGGGGTCTTTGTGGGTTTCCCTCTTTCCCCCCAGTTACTACGTATCATGTAGCTTTGGTAGAGATGCCACGATCCCTCGTGCCATCATATACGTGACTAGGCTTCATCAGGGCCCATGTCAGCCCAGGCCCAAAGCCCAACCCACGAATGGGTTGGGCTGGGTTGGGCCTGGGCTGACATGGGCCCTGATGAAGCCTAATCTAGTGTCAACTGGTGAATAGATGTGATAGTATAGTATAGTATATTATAGTATGGGGGGGTTGGCTGGCTGGCTCTCACGATCGATCGTAGACCAAGCTAGATGGTGGCTCTCTTTGTCGTCATGAGATCATAGCCCCTGAAATCCTCAGGTTCAGTATGGCCGACTCTACTATCTATGCTACGGTACTACGGTGCTACGGTGCGACAGGCAGATATGATGGATCAGATCGAAGGGGTGGTGCTCTGGAAACCCTAAAAACCCTGAAAACCCTAGCTCGATGACCCTCCCACCCCGGTCGAACCCCATCAAAAGATCACCATCAACTTCGGCCGTGCCAAGATCATCATTCTACGGCTTGGAGGACGATAAAAACAAGGTCAGTTGTCAACTGGCCAATGGAAAGTAGGTGGCCAAAATCCTGTTTCCCCCGTGGGGCAGACTTAATCCAGGGGTAGGTTGACAGGTCAGTCTCTGGACACGCACCGTGGGCGACGGGAGCACGCGGCCCAGGCGAATCAGGGGCCGAAGAAAGAGGACGGGCCCCCCATTCCATTTGCGACTAAGGTATAGGTACAATTCTATTGACTCCCAATCGCTTGTACATGGCCAAGAGCAGAAAGAGGAAGCACAAAAGGCAAATAGAAAGCGGGAGGCTAATATCAGAGGCTATTTCTAGGGGTAATTAAGAAACTCTCCATAACCATAGCCAATTTATTTATAAACGAATCAAATGGCGGTGCGAAATATTTCGTTATACAAAGTTTCTACAATATATCATTCTCATGCCTTGGATGCATTTTCACGCACCATCGCGGCCACCACCTGACTCTTACCGGCCACCAACATCCCAATATCCTCAAAAGTCGCGTTCCCCAAGATTTCAAAAACGGCCACCTCTGCCTTCAGCTTCCACTTGAACCAATTCCGCAACTCCACCGCCACCAACGAATCCATTCCGTACGCGTGCATCGGATTCGACAGATCCAGGTTCTCTAGAGGTATCCCCAATGCCTTGCCGAGCCGCTGTATCAGCGATTGCGCAATAATTGCCGCCGCCTCATCCGTCGATCGCACCGCTACCAGATCTTTCACTATATCAGCCACGTCATCTTCTTGCACAGACGCATCTGCGTCCGTGATATTCCACGTTCCTCGAAAGAGTGGTCGGGTCATAATAATGGGGATTTCCGCCATGCGAGCCTCGATACGAGAGGGAACGTCAATTCCGACAAGCACTTGAGACCTCAGCGGAGAGTTGTGGATTGGCAGGGACGGATCACAGTGATATTCCAGCAAAGCAAACATCTCCCGCTGAGTGATACCAAGCAGGTAACCTGTCCTAATCAGTGCAGTCCGCACTGGATCATTGTCCCGCAGTACCCCGTCATCTACCATGACGCCGAGATTGAACGTGGCCGCTTTTTCGCCAAGGAAATTACGGTAGTGCATCAGGGCATCCTGATAGGCGCAAGCGGCCGAGTAGTTGACTGACGCGGTCCCCCCGACTCCTCCAGCAATTGACGAATAGGCGATGAAGAAATCCATACTGGTTGGGAGCAACTTGTGAAGATTCCATGTTCCGGAGACTTTGCAGGCGAAGGTGTCTGCCCAATCTTGATACGTCATGTTTCCAAATACCTTGTTCTATCCGAGGGGTGAATGATTAGCATATAGACGACGGAGCAGGGAGACTTATAGTGGAAACTCACTCGGAGAACCATTGCCGACTGAATACAGCCCTTAATTGGGGGCATCTGGCTTTGAAGGGCGTCCAACGTATGTTTCAGGGAGCCGTAAACTGCGATATCGCAGCGTGGTACTTCCACCCTCACTCCCTGCCTGTGCAAACCGCGCACCAGCCCCCGTGCTTCATCGTTTGACACACCCAATCGGGAGAGTAGAATCAAGTTTTTCGCTCCTCGCTGGGCCATCCAGTTAGCTGTGCTACGACCAATGCCACCCAGTCCTCCGGCAATCACGTATGTGGCGTTGGCGTCGAATGTCCAGGGACGCTTGATTTTCACAGTTGTCTTTAAACGTTAGATTTGCCTTTGACCTAATAGATTGCGTCCCTACCTTGATCAGATCGTCACGTCGGAATTCAACCACAGTTTTCCCCGTGTTCTTGCCACTCTGAAGGTATCGGAACGCTTGTTCAACTTCACCGATTCCATACACATGAATTGGCCGAGGAGGGGAAATCCGCCCTTGGGATAGCAGGGCGCTAATGTCTTTCCATAACTGTCGCAAAAGGCAGGGCCGATACTTCCGAGCCTCATTTAGGTCGATAGCATGGAATGATGCATTCTTCGCGAAGGGCAGCATCGGCAAACTGTTGTTGGAGAGGATGTCTTTCTTACCCAGTTCAAGGAAGCGGCCGAATGGCGCGATGCACTGCCAGCTCTCGACGAGGAAATCGCCACTCAACGAATTAAGGATGACATCTACCCCACCATTTTTACCGGTATATCCACGGATGCCCTTGACAAAGGAAGTGTCACGGCTATCAAATATATGATCTTCGGGGATGTGGTAAGTCTCCATCAACAGCATTTTCTTCTCCTCTGACCCGACGGTGACGAATATCTCAACATCTCGCAGCTGGGAAACTTGAATAGCTGCCTGGCCTGTGCCTCCGGCCGCAGAATGAATTAGAATTGACTCTCCTCGTTGGATGTTGGCGACGTTAACCAAAGCATAGAAGGCAGTGGTGAACACCACGGGGAGGGCGGCGCCCTCGACGAAGGACATGGAATCAGGAATTCGAATGGCATCATTAGCTTGACACCTCGTATACGTTTGATAGGTTCCCACAGTACTGACACAGACTCGATTTCCAATCTCCACGTTCTGCACCTCTGGTCCCTTGCGATATACGGTACCGGAGCATTCGAAGCCATAGCTAGTACCTGGAAGTCTGCCCAGTGCGATAAGACAATCTCGGAAATTGACGCCGCTAGCTTCAACCTCAATCTCAATCTCACCCGGAGCGAGCTTCAGCTTGGTAGCGTTGTCGTCCTCGATGAACTCTAAACTGTCTAATAGGCCAGGGGAGGCGATGCTGAGTGATAATGCGGAATTTTCGCCAAATCTAGACTCACCCGACTGGGTGACAGCCATTAACTCGCCAAGGCCTTTGTTCAGATAATCGGCTTCAATAAATCGATCAACACATAGGAGACCATCACGTTCCACGTACTCTTGCTCACAGTCATTGACCGGCCGAGTAGCAATAGTCTGGAAAACCTGGCCGATGCGATTCGCTGTATGGAGCGCATCGACTGCGGTAGCTTCCAATGAGAGGGATATGAGTTTTGAATGTCGCTCTTCCATACGCAGTCCTCGAAATGCGCCTTGAATCAGAGCATGCTCAGGTCGCTGAGGTCTGGCACCCCCTCCACGCGTTACCCATAACATTCCTCCATCCGCCAGCAACAGGGTCTTCACCTGTTGGTACTCGGTGGGATTCATCTTAGCCAAAATGGGTGACTCTTCCAGGTCAATAATCATGATGCAGAACCAGTCGCTCAAGTTTGGCATTTGCGCAGCCTCTTCGAGGGAACGGTTGATGGTTTGGGGAACGCCAGCAGCCTGTAGACTTGCTTCCAGCTTCTTTGCGACATCCTGTTGTATTGTGGATGCAGAGTCCAACACGATCAAGATCAGTGGGGGGAGGTCTGGACGATTCTTCACTTCAGCCGCTGCGGTTGTAATAATGGCACTGTGCTCATGACATATGGTATCTTCGTAGTCTTGAAGGTTGAGGTCGATACCTGAGAAACCATGTTTCCTGAGAATATCATCCCAGACCGCGTCAGAAATACCGGCGCTGAATGTCCGGTATCCATCTTGATATCGCCACCAGCCTGGAAGCAACCCAAAGGCAAAGTTGGTACGAACGACCTCTGGGTCGGTGAGTTCAAAGAGTACAAGCTTACCACCCGTCTTAAGTAGCCTTCTCGCATGTTGCAAAGTCGTACCTAAATTTTGGGTGGCATGAAAAACATTATCGGCGACTATCATGTCACAAGTCGCATTCTCAAAGCCTTGTTTCACGGGATCTTTCTCAATGTCTAGGACAGAAAAGGTTACCTTGTTTGGGAAACTCTCAAACATAGTTGCCGCGTCAGAGAAGAAGCCGGCAGAGATATCGGTGTATGTGTAGTGGGAAAATCTTGGGGTGCCGGCGCCGGCTTTGCGGGAGCCGTTCTGGGTCAATATGTCTAGAACGTATCGTGTCATGCCCCCTGTGCCTGCTCCAATCTCCAGGATCTTCATGTCTGGATGCTTATGGGCGTAGAGATCGATAAAGGCTAGGGCTTTGAACAGTCCATTGGTGGCCTTGTAGAGTTCGCGGTAGTAGTCTTTGACGAGGGAAGTCTGAAACATGATTTGCAGCCCATCTTGCTGTCCTGTCAGAATCTCGTAGAGGTTACGAGCTAACACTGCGAAGAATTTCCCTCGGCTATTGAGACCTTCAAGGCGATCTAGCAGCTTCATATAAAATACGTCATCACTCAAAACACCTTTGAAATCGATCCCCATTGTAGCAGGGGCATCTACGGACAACTTCTGCTTTTCACGCTCCATCCACGCCAGGTATCTCTGATGGTGGGGAGCGAGTTTGTCCTTATCTTTGTCTGTTAGCTTCCGCAAAGTTCGCAAAATACACAGGTAGAGCAGCAGCTTAACGTCATGATCAAATTCCACAGGTGACGGCTGCAAGGGGAAGCCCGTCGTTACTTGGGTTAGTAGTTCTTCCGTACTCAACAGCTCAATGTCGGGACGGTAGTCAAAGTTCCAACAGAGACGACGGGAATTCCCGCTCTGCTGCTTCTCCGTTAGAAACTTGCCCTCAAGACCATCAACTACCACCACAGATCGTTGACCGGATGGTTCCAAGGCGACGACGTGAGAAGTAGTATTCCCGAGACCCAGGAAGGATGATTTATTCCACGCCATCACACGAGTTGCATCATTTTGATCCTGGAAGGGTCGACTCTCGCATTCCGCAATCCAGATGTGACGAATACTAGTAACCACACTGGGACATATATTGGTGCCACCCTTCGTCATCGCAACTAGCCCCATCTGGAATAACCCATCTAAGAACGTTGGATGGGCGGTAAAGCCAGTTTGACTAAATTTCCGGGCCTTGACTCGCCATTGATGAGGATCGATTTCCGCAAAACACTCCATCTCATCATTGTACGCGCATTTTTTGATGACCTGATGGGCAGGTCCGAAATCGATGCCATTCTCCGCTAGTGACTTATACATACGCCCCATATCAGCTGTCTGTAAGCAGGATCTGCGCATGCGGCGCAGCTCGGTGATATGTCTCTTCCATTCCAGCTGAGCTTGCCGTCCTTGGTCAACCATGCCGCCTTCGTCAACGTAGGAAACCTGGATACGGCCCTGGCACGCCTCCACCCAGGTATCATTCTCAATGTAGTAGAGACGAAACTCTGACCAAGAACTCTCGCGATCGGCCGACAGCCCCATAGACCGGAGATAGAATTCTACCTCAGTACCATCGGGGTCTTCTGAGACAGCCAGGGCCCGAGAGAAGGTCGCATCTCTCAACGTGTACCCCGCAATTATTCGATCGGACCGTGATCGAGAAACGCTCTTGGCTGCTTCCACAGCCATAACTAGCATGGCTGCACCGGGAAAGATGTTCATCCGCGCGATACGGTGGTCCCCAATCCACGGTTCTTCAGACAGCTTGATTCTCTTCCTCCATTTGGCCTCTTGTGGATTCCAGTCTGACACTCGCATCCCTAGAAAGTCATTGCGTGGTGCCTCGCAGAACCGATGACCCATGCTCACCCGTGATTCTCGCCAGTAGGAGAGACTGTGATCAAAGGGATACTCCGGCAGATTAGCTATTGGAGTAAGTGACAAGAACTTAGGCATGTTCGGCTGGTTCAGTGCGTGGATATTGACATGGTGTCCGCGGCAGTATAGGTAGCCGAGGGCATCAAACACGCTTTGAATAGCATTTAAATTTCGAACAAGAGCAGACTTGTACCCAACAACTGGTTTCTGACTGGCTGCTTTCAATGTATCCTTGATCGGTCCTTGCAAGGTCGAATGTGGGCCTATTTCCAAGACGTCCTCAACCTGCAAATGACTGGTTTGACCAAGAATCTCTCCACCCTCTTGAACCCTCAGCGACGCAGCATATGTCAAGGCAGTGGCAAACTGTACTGGTGAGACCATGTTTTGCATCCAATACTCCTTGAGCCCCACCTGCTTGGGTGTTGCAACCTCGCCTGTCACTGAAGAGATCATAACAAGTGACATGACTCCCTTACGGGGGGACAATCTTCCCATTGACTTGAGGTAATCTGGAGCGATAGAATGCATACGTGAGGAATGATAGGCAACAGGAACCTCAAGCTTGCGCGCAAAGATACCTTCCTGATCGAGAGCCTCCTTGAGGGTGTTGATCTGATCGGCATCTCCTGAGATGGTGATATTCCCTGGACTATTGATACAGCCGACGGAGATATTCAGGTGGCCATATCGATTTTGGATAGCTTCAAAGTAGGGTATAACGTCGGATTCGGACAAGTTGACTGACACCATTGCCCCATCGTTGGCGTTCCTATCCGCAAGTCGGGAGGATAGAAGCCCACGATAGTAGGCGACGCTAATTGCGGACCTTCGGTCGAGAGCCCCAATGCAATATCTGGTTTTTCTTTTAGATTGAATTTTTTATTTCTGGTTCAGTCGAGGAGAAGAAACTCACGCAGCAGCAATTTCGCCCGAGGAGTGACCGACTACTACTGTGGGGTGGACATCTATACTTTCCATCAGGTCCACCAGAGCAATCTGGACGACGGTGCACAGTGTCTGGCTAAACTCTGGTTCATTGATTCTGGATTGCCGTTCATCTCGCAACAACTCCTCTGCTCAAGACATCAGCGAAATACAACAAAACGAGTGACCAAGAAATTTACCTTCCAGGTTCCAGGAGCATCCTAAAGCCTTGACGACAGCAGATGAGTCGATAATGCTCTGCGCATAGACTCTGAATTGCCGTAACTCACGACCCATGCCAGCCCACTGCGCTCCTTGGCCTGTAAAGCAGAGCGCCAGGCGCGAAGTTGTCAGAGCCCTTACTGGTGGAGATGGCTTGATCCCCTTTGCCAACTGCTCCGGAGAATCGCAAATGGCGTATGATCGCCAGAGCAACGAACTTCGACGTTCACTTAAAGTGTATGCTAGGCGCAAAATGTATGTATCATTGATAAGATGCCGGGAACCGTCGAGGTATTGATTGTAGGTGGCTGCCAGACGGCTGATGCCTTTTTCATCTTGCGCAGATAAGACAAGAATCTGGGGGTTCGGATATCCCAATTCAAAATGATCCTTTGCTTGGCGCTTAGCTGGTCCGGACAGTTGCACGTAATTTCGAGCATCTTCCATAACGACATGCGCATTGGTACCTCCGAATCCAAAAGAGTTGATAGACAGCCGGCGCAGACCATCCGACGGCCATGGACAGAGCTTTTGTGGAAACTGATTAAGCGTTAGCTTGGCTTGGATTAAGGCCAACGCACTGCGAGAAAGAATATACCACAAGGTCGGGTTGTCTCTCTGTAATGGTCCTATTGACAACCTCTAAGCCTGCAACGCCTGGTATCATCCCCTGCTCCAACATGAGCACGCTTTTGATGAGACTGGCAATGCCGCTGGTTCCCTCCAAATGACCAATGTTAGATTTGACTGTGCCCACATATAGCGGGCGAGCTGGAGAAATGCAGCTCTGGAAGGCATCCGCAATTGCCCCTGCTTCAATAGGATCTGGTGCGCGTTACCTCGAGGTGTCTACCAATCACAAAGTGTGAAGATACTAACCGCCCACCGGCGTCCCTGTTCCATGTGCCTCCACATACCGGGTCAAGCGCATATCCAAATTCGCTTTTTGGTATGTTTCCCGAATGAGCTCCGCCTGTGCTTGTCGACTGGGCTGCACGATTCCGGGCGTGCGTCCGTCCTGGTTCGTCCCCGTGGCACGAACAACCGCACGAATAACATCGTTGTCGACAACGGCATCACCGGTGCGTTTCAAGATCAGGGCTCCGAAGCCTTCACCACGTCCGTACCCATTTGCATCCTCATCAAAACTCCGGCATCGACCTTCCGGTGATAGGAACCCCTGATTGTTCAGGGACATGGCCATATCTGGACTCAGGAAAAGGTTTGCACCGGCTACTATTGCCTGTTCTACTTCTCAGCAAACACGATATGAAAAACTGCTACGTTGTTCCTGTGTGAAACTTACCATGTCTGCATCTCCATTACGCAATCCTTGGCACGCTGTGTGGAAGGCAACGAGCGTGCTGGAGCAGGCAGTGTCCATGTTAATCGATTCACCGCGCAGGTTGAAAAACCAACTGATGCGATTCGCGATCATGTTGAGAGAAACAGAGCTGGCTGAATACCGACCGCCAAATTGTGGATCACGAGTGGAAAAAGCCTTGTAATCATCGCCGAAACTACCGGTATGGACAGAGGTTTTGGAATTGACGACCTGCTCCATCGGGATTCCCGCTGTTTACCCATCAGTTTGGCTCGGGTTCTGCATGTAAAAGTTTTTCATCTACCGTTTTCCAATGCGTGGTATGTAGTTTCAAGGAGAATTCGAGATTGTGGATCGATCTCGGCAGCTTCACCGGGCCCGATAGTGAAGAAGGGTGCATCGAAGGCGGCCACGTCGCCATCGACAAAATGGGCCCCTTTGAGTGGGAACTAGACAATGGAAGAAAGGAAGAATCTCTTTAGTGTTTGCACTGTCTACCATAGAATGTTCTCAAAAACAATGAGATGCACCTACCCCGTTCAAACGCTCTTGGTCCGGATCATAGACACCATCAAAGTGGATGCGACTCGAGGGAAAGGTCGACCACGCCGAACGACCCTCTGCAAGTGCCTCCCAGAAGGACTCTGCTGATTCCAATCCCCGTGGGAAGCGAAATGACATCCCAACTATCGCAATTGGCACCGTGTCAACTTCATCATTTTGAGTATGGTGCTCATGCATCCCTGGAGCGACACCATTTGGAGTCGCGCTACTGAGAAGCTTCTTGGATCGTACTCCCGGGGGTTTCTTGTTTGCGGGACCTGGCTCGCTGGCAGGCGAGTAGGTCGCTAGCCAGCCTTGAATGCTTTCAAGTACCATAGTGATTTCAATCTAGAGTTAGACTGGGGAGGGAATTCTGGTTGTTGTAATGGAAATGCTACTATAACCCCCTGAGCAAGGAGATGCAACGCCTCCTTATTGCATCGATCTTGGCTTCTGTTTTAACCTTGGCAAATAAATTTCGATCCTGTGCTATGCCAGCTGCAGAGAGTCTGATTAGATTGCATAGATAGATTGTCAACTTTGGTGTTTAATGATGTAAGTCTGTCACGTTCCAGTGATTGCTCCCAAGATACGACCCATTTAAACAAGGATGGCTCATGATTGCCCTCATTCCAAACTGCAGCATCCACTGCGGGGCTGTATCTCCACGGTGATTGGAAAATCCCGAGGTCAAGGCTATTCCTATTTCCAGTTGAAGTTGAGGTATACTACGACGCTGCCGCGTCTTCTTCTTACGGCAAGAAGATCGATTTGTCTGGCGCCTTGCCTCCTTTAGGCAAACAGTCCCTGCCAGGGTACCTGCAGTCAGACTAAGCGGCCCCAAGAGAAGACCAGCGATTGAGCGATTGGTCGAGGGATTAAGTTCACGACTTATGTTTAAATATCGAGGGTTGTAATTTTCAGGATGGCTCCCTTCAAGTTTTCTTATTTTTTCTTTTCTTGGCATGGGTGGAGAGGTAGATGATACATTGTCTGCCTCGACATCGGCCATTATCTGTTTATCATAGACGGAAAAAGGTGATGCAGATGCTAGGACTGATTAAGTCTACTTTGGAGTAAGTAAATATAACTATGGAAAGCTGTTGCCTCAACTAACGGTCAAATTGTAGCAACTCCAGTCAAACTTTAGTTTATTACAAGGCCCAATTTGGCAATTCATCCAACGGAACAACTAAGGTTGCAGAGGGATAAAGCTACGCCAACCGTCGCATCGGCCATTCCCACATCAGCGCCAAGGCAATACTTTCAGCTGCACAAAATCCTAGTATCATAGCTAGCTGTTGATGATATCCTTCCGCAAAAGCCGCATGCACAATCGACTGATCAGTCGGCGACAGGGTCCGAACCGATGATACATCTTTGAGAATTTGCACCAGCGCATCGGCAGACAATTGCGCTGCCAGCTGATTCTTAGCGTTGTTGTTCAATAAGTTTGTCGCAATCGAGACTCCCAACGCACCGCCAAGGATGCGCAACTGTGTGACTCCACCCAGGGCAACAGCTATCATGATGAGGATCTGTCAGCGAATGGATAGAAAGGTAGCCACAGGCCAGGAAGGAAGAAACATACCGAGAACGCGTCTCTCTACGATGAATGGTACAATGTTCAAGAGGGTGGTCAAACTGAGGCCTGTGCCCAGTCCAGCCAGTGTTTGATATCCGTAGACGCGGGCAGGAATACTCGCGTTGACGGGAACCGAGTAAAGAAGACCTATTCCAAGGATCTGTAGGACGGTGGCGGTAAATAGCAGCACGATGGGCGGAACGCGTCCTCGTGCGGTAAGACCGCCGGTTAATGCGGACCCAAAAGCAATGGTAAGCGTAAAGGGTAAAATGGAAATTCCCGATTTGAGACCAGAACGGCCATTGATACTCATAAATCGAAGGGGCAGTTCGAGTACCAGGGTCACAAAAGGGACACCAGATAGTAGCGCGTTGCTTTTTGCATCGGCATATATTATTAGCATGAATTCTTGAGCAGAGTACTTCTATGATTTACATCCAATTTCGAGTGTTGAGATACGGGAAGGAAGGAGAGGGAGGGTGTTGGGAGGGTGTTGGGAGAAGAGAACACACTCACAGGAATATCCCCATCATCACCCGCTTCTTGAAGAACACCCAGGGCAAAATTGGCTCCCGTGCAGACTTGGCGTGATAGAGATACCATTGCCAGACGAGGAAGAGAATCAGCAGTACCCCGGCGGCCACCAAAAAGGCAATGACAAGGGTTGAGCTCCATGTAAAGGAGATACCTGCCTCCTCGATGGCCACAATGAGCAAGACAGACGCGGCTAGGAGCATGGAGAAGCCCGGATAGTCGATGCGGCCACGAAGAGTGACATTTCGCCTAATGAGGTTGCAGAATGTTGGGGATGTGATTGCAGAAGAGTTGGGAAAGCCAGCCGGCATAGCTACAAGGACGAGAATGAGTCCGACGAACCCGACGGGAAGGTTGATGTAGAAGATCCAGCGCCAGGTGGCGCCGTCTGAGATGGCTCCGCCAAATAGCGGTCCCAGAAGAAAGCTGAATGCAATGGCAAGGGAGACAATTCCATTGTAGGCACCGTATTTGGCTGGTTGCACCATCTCTGCCACGACGATGGGGACCATGCTGAAAATACCTGCACCACCAACCCCTTGCAAGGAACGGCAGAGAATACTGAGAGAAGCTTAATTAGTTGCCATCATTCTCGATGGAAGATATAAGTTACATACAGCTGTGTTAGGGTGTGAGCGCATCCACACCCTCCCGAGAAGGCAAGGAAGAGCACCACCGCAGTGACGAGCATCAGCTTACGACCAAAGAAGTCGCTCAGTTTGGCCCATATAATGAGAAAGCCTGGCGAAGAGTAAGAAAATGAGTCGAATGCTAAGACGGAGGGTTTGACGGGCTTGTACTGAAATAGGAGGTCAGGTAGCTGGACACCACCCAGCTGCTTTTTTCAAAAGCGTGTAGATCATTGGAAATAGCCGTCAGCGAGGTACTGACTATGGTGATGTCGAGGGAAGAGAGAAAGACGCAAAGACAAATTCTGAACCGAAATTAACTGTTGTTGTTCTGCATTTGAGATTCAGAAGGTGATACACACCCGACTGTGAGGAGTCTGAGTCTCCATCCTTCCAATACTGGGGGTTGGGAATTTTCCTCGTTTTCACCATTCACCGTGTTGTCCTTCTCCAACTGTGCATTATCTGAGGGATCGGAGCGGGGGGGGATAGTGTCGTCCCTAGTATCTGGGGGCTTTTCTTGCTCCTCGGGCATTGTGATAGTATGGATTGCTAGAAAGACATATCCTTTGAGGATTGAATGCCGCATTTGTCTTGCATCTCAGGGTGGTTTACTGCGGAGCAATTGCACCGATAGACACCTGCAGGCCTCGGCAGATCCTCGAGTTTGGAAATACCAGGCGAATATTGTGCTCTCGGGGTACCCGCGATGGCCGATTCCTGCTACCAAGGATGGGAATCCAGATTTCGTTGTTTCTTTTGTCTGTTTACCGTGTATTTACGACGAACGGTCAACGTAAAACTGGACCTTGCGGGTACTGGATCGACACAGCTCGTGTAAGGCCGTTTGTCGGACATTGGAAGGATGACATGCATTATTTTCCTTCGCTGCGGTCTGGCCCAAATGTGACTGCCACCTTCCCAGAAACTTTATTTGACCATTAACTTCTGTAGGTGGGGCTTGGGCTGATGTAACTAGTAGGCCACGTTCTATTCCTTTCTCTCGCTGCCACCAACCGGCTGGAACAAGGGTGGTCCGGAGAATTAGTGTGACACAGAGCGCTTACGTCGGGTTGATTTTTTTGCTCCCCCTTTTGCTTAATAGCAAGAGTGAAAATAACTAGGGTATAGTTAACTAGTGGTATGTGGTAAGTATGGTAAGCAGAGAGAGAGAGAGAGAGAGAGAGAGAGAGTTTAGATTAGCCACTAGTAAGAAAAAAACATAAGGATATAAAAAATAAATATAAAAATAGGGGTCGAGTGAGCCAGCTGACGGTGGTGCATTTAAGGTTCAAGCCTGAACCTCCAGTGGTCACCAATGAAAATACACAGTAACGAACACCGGCTGGTCCTAGCACTCCTTCACAGTCACCAGAATGCCAGGTGTGTCACACGCCTGCGCTCCTAGAATGTAGTCTCGGCTCACATCGATGTCGCGATCGCGTTGCACCGCGGAGACATCAAAGTCAAACTGCCGGAAGACGGCCGCTAGAATCAAAACCAGCTCTGCACGGGCCAGATTAATCCCCAGGCAAGAGCGTGTGCCCCGATTGAACGGAACCAGGTATCGTTCCAATCGCTTGCCGTCGGGTCCCAGCCAACGCTCGGGTCGGAAGATGCGAGGCTCCGGAAAGATGGTGTCGTTCAGATGGGTGAGCATGGCCGTCATTCCAACGGTAGTGTTCGCAGGAATGAAGATCCCGCGACATTGGAGCGGCTGGTCGGGGAACTGACGGCCAATCCGATGGCTGACGGGGTCGCACAGGCGCAGACCCTCCTGGACCACGGCTGCCAGATAGGGGAGTTGTTCGAGAGTCGCCAGAGAGGGAAACTGCCGAGGGTCTGGGACGGCGGTCGTGAGCTCGTCATGCAACCGTTGTCGTACAGCTCGGTTGGCGGCAATGTGATAGGCGGTCCCACGTAGTACAAATGCTCTAGGCCACTGGTTAGGTTTACCCGATATGGGGCACGATTGGAAAGATTTACGTTGTCCCGGAGCCCGCCGTCACCAAGCTGAAGGCTTCATCCCGCAACCGATCCCTCTGCAGCTCGGCCGGGGGGAGCTTGCTGTCCAACAGTTCGTGGAAGACGGTCCGATGACCGGCATTCTCGTAGGCCGTATCCTCACCATGTCGAATGGCCTCCACTTGCCGAGATAGAGTCTATGGAGATGCTAGTCAGCGCCTCTATGGTTAGGCCTCATATGAGACGGACGTACCTGACGAAAATTCAGAATGTCCGCCAATGCTGGGGCTAGGATTTTGTTGACGCGATCCTACATATCAACACCGGGTGAGTATTTTATCTCCCAGGGTCGGGAAACAAAAAGGAAAAAGGGCCTTACCGGCAGTGAATACGTGAAGCGCATCACCCATGGAATATGGATATTCAGCAGGCTGACCTGCAGGAATCTATCCACATCGTCAAATCCCTTGCGACCGAAATCGGGCTGGTGCACATTGTGGGGCTCATGAGCAAAGCAATAGGCGTTAATGATATCCAGGGTTACTGCGGCGTAAATGTACTTCATATTGAGCATGTCGCCCGTCTGAGCGGCGCGATGCAGACGCTCTCGCAGAAGCTCAATGGGACGCCACATGACAGGAACGAGGTCGGTGACGGATTTCTTGGAAAAGAAGGGGTTTAGAGCGCTTCGTCGCAGGCGGTGCAAGTCATGCCCCCTAGTGCCAATGGTCTAGTTCTGTCAACGCTGTTTCTTCGCCGTAAACGTTTGGATAGCCCGGTCGAGAGACAAGGGAGGAGGGAAGGATATACCGCGGGATAGGGACCAAAAGCTTCCGCGACACGTAGGGGCTTCTCTGCCCGGCCATTCGTCTGGTTAAAAACTTGGTCGAAGAAATCGGGGTCGTCGATATGCACTTCATCGGGGTTGATGCGAATGACAGGGCCTGGAGGGGAGACAGTACATTAGATCAGCTCCAGGGAGATGGAGGGTGGGATTGGTACCATATCTGCGATGCAGAGCCTTAAGCTGGAAGCTGAACTGGCCATTTTGATACAGATCGTAATACCATTCATAGAGATAGGTGACCTTGGCCAATGGAGGACCGGGGATATGAGCGAGAGGGTGAAAGTAGATTCGGTAGGCGAGGAGCGAGATTAGGGCCAGGAGGGCCAACGACAGCAGTAGAAGGGAATCCATTCTGGTGTACTGGAGTCAAGTGAATTTTACAGAGCAAGCACAGGGATGTGATGACTCTCTTGACTTTCTCTCTTCGTTCCTTGCCTTCATATTATGGCCGAAGTTAGGCGGTGCAACGCGGGGAAGAGTAGGTAGGCCGGGTAAAACCTGTTGGAAGCCTAGAGAGACATTGATAGGTACCATCCATTTCTTTGTTTAATAGATAACAAGGGTATGACGGCTACAGGACACGAGATTGGTGGTTTCTTGGTTATTAGATACGAATTCTTCTTCTGTCTCAACGTCCAATTGGATGAATCTAGGGTCAGATGCCCAGATCGATCGGGTCCAATCGTATTCCGCGCACACATACCACGGTGTACAGCGGACAGGCTAGAACCAAAGTGAATTCAATGGGTAAATCTGCTCTCACTGAGATTCCTTAGCAAGGAAATCGGACCCCCCCTTGCAATTTACGAAATTACAAAGGGAATCATGCCCCGTACTTGAGGGATTTCCAATTTACCGGGATAGGATAAGTTCCCTACAAACTGGATCGAGACCCTTTCCGGTGAAAGCCTGGCACTTGGTAGCCGTGAGTCTTTTTCCACATCCACTCCTGTGCCTGTTCCAGCGTGAACGGCACTAGGTTCTCCACCTCCAGCGATTCCGCCTTCAGGCTCCTAGCCCAGATGAACTGCGCGCTCGATGGCGGTTGTTCCCCCCGCGCAAACCTGACGGCCGCCTGGGCCCACTCTCCCAAGATCTGCTTCGTCTGCGGGGCCGCCCCGAAGACCCAGAAGAAGGTGTGGGGCATACTCTCATATTCGCGCAGAGTGATCGACCCGCCTGCACGGTGAATCTCGCGTGCCACCAGTCGCGACGCATCCACGATCTGCTCCTGTCCCGAGCCCATCCAGATCGGACACGTGCCCGTCCAGTCCTCCGCGGCGGCGGGACTCGCCAGTGGGTGGGCCAGCATGCCCGCCTCGCAATAGAGGTTGGCACGAGGTGGTCGCGTCGGCCAGGCCGGACAGGTGGGAAAGCTTTTCTCCAGGTACGGGAGCTTCTCGATGGGGACGGGGAAGATGTCACAGCGGGCATTGCGCTCGAACGACGGGAAGGCATTGGTGAGGTCGGCCACGGGACTGAGCAGGGACATCCCGGCCGGCACGACGGGTGGTTCTGTAGAACCATGGAAGGTGATGGTGGCCCCCCCGACGCTGCAACCGGAGCAAGACCTGGAGGAGACCCAGGGCCAGACAGGCACCCGAACTGTCGCCCGCCACGACGATCGAGGAGGCCGGCACGGGCTCGTGGGGGCTACCTGCGGGGGGGGGTGCAGCAAGGTCAGATAGGCTTGGAAGGCGTCCAGCAAGGCCGCCGGGAAGGGGTTTTGAGGTGCCAGTCGCTGCCGTACGAGCAGGACCTTGGCTCCAGTGGCCTGGGATAGCGCGGCGGCAGTCTTGCGATAGCTAGAGGCAGAATTCAACCTGATAAGATTGATCGATCATCGGTCAGCACTTCAGAAGGGATATCGAGTGGGGAGAGGAGCAGGGAAGGAAGACCCAACACAAAAGAACCACCGTAGAGGTAGAGGATCGTCAGCGGGCTCGTGGTCTCCGCCATCACCCGGTCGTACTTTTCCTTCTCCCCAATGGCGGGCTCTGGCGTGTCCTTCTGGACATTGCGACGGTAGGCCACCCATTCGAAGTCGAGCGAGACCGAGGCCGGGCGGTCGTATCGCACCTGGTGCTCGTTGGCCTCGTCGACTAGCTGGAGGAGAAGGCCACGCGAGGTATCATCGGTCGGAATGGGGAGAGTAAATTTGCTCACCCAGAGAGGGCCCTTGATGGGATCGTTGCGGCAGCTGGCCTTTTGTTGGACAGAGATGGCGGTTGTCTGGGCACGCTTGAGGTATTCGGCACGCATCTTCTGGGCCGCAGCCACGAGATGCTTGGAGTTCTGGAAGTCCATGGTGGGGTCGGCGGAGACACTCCTGCACGAAGAGATGACGGTTGCTGTTGACGGGAAAGGAGGATGACATGGGAAAAGGGGGTTACGGGGGGGGGGGGGAAATGATGCGAAGAGCCAACCTCGATTTAGCCCTATCGAGGTGGCTGCGGTCCGCAGTGGAAGGAGAGGAGTATAGAAGCAGATGGCCGGGCGATCACCATCAGGATGCCCATTCGGTATTCTCATCGATACCTTGGATCGGAGCTGAGGTGAGACTTCCATGGTGACCATGAAACCCAACTAGCATTATTATTGTCCGATTTTCGTACTAATAGCGCCACGAGCATGGAATCCCAGTTCGGTGGTTGCATTATCCCAGACCCCAGATACAAACAACCCAACCACCGCCTGCATGCTTTGCTGATGCAGGAGACACGTTAGATGAAACGAAGAGCCAAAACTTAGATTTGGAAATAGAAAATACCGAAGTAAAATAAAATGAAAACCAAAGGCAAAGGTAGATTGGATAGGGATTTGGAGGATGATGAAAACGCCACCCGCGAGGATTCACATTATTTCATGCAGGAAGATGGCCAGTCGCAACCTTCACACCCTCCTGCTAGTGCCACATTCTCCTCTCCCTTGTTCTGTCGAATCTCTTGGTTATCATGATGATTACCGCTAATACGTCGCTTTCGGTGAGGGCAGAATCCCGAGGCTGCAGGTATCATGCCAGTGATATATATTCTTTGGCCCGCTGCTGGCAGGTATCCGGTACGGACCCGAGGATACCTAGGTACGTTGTGGAAGATATTGCCAGGGAAAAGTGAATTGATAACACTTCCCGCGACAAGACACCGCATCAGAGACAAGATTGAACCAAAGCCAGAGTCATCACCATGGCCGAGACAGCCGCACCACACCCATACAAGCTGGGGCTCAACCAGCTGGGCTATGCGACACTGGTAGTCAGCATCTTCTTCATCGTGCTGTCCATCGCGGCAGTCAGTCTGCGCATCGGCAGCCGGCGAATGCTGGGCAACCACTTGGGCCTGGACGACTGGCTGGCCATTGCCAGTGTCGTTGTCCTCATGGGCTTTTGCAGTGATATACTGGTGGGAGTCTATACCTACGGGGGTGGGCAAGTCTATCTCAACCAGCTGGAGGCCCACGAGAAGTTGATCCAGTACATGAAATCGGAGTATGCCATTCCACCGCTATATGCGGTCAATGTGACCCTGGTTAAAATGTCCATTCTGTGTTTTTACCATCGCCTCTTCTCGGTCTCTTCCTTCCGTCGCAAGACCTACGGCGTGGGTATCTTCTGTCTCGTTTGGTTTGTGGTCGCCTTCGTCGCTGATATGCTGTACTGTATCCCCATGCGCCAGTTCTGGGATCCCACGGCAGGCGGCTCCTGCTTTAACTTCCCCAACTACTTCCTGGTCATGGAGCTCATCGACGTGCTCCTGGACGTGGTAATCATTGCCCTTCCCCTCAAGACCATCGCGAGCCTGCAGCTTTCCTGGCGGAAGAAACTGGCCTTGCTGGGTATTTTCTCGCTGGGTGCCTTGTATGTCGTCCCCCCCCAATGAGCATGATAGTCCCAACATTCAGATACTAACATGCATAGTGTGATTGTGACTAGTGCCATCCGCATCGCCTACGTCTACCGACCGGGCGACCAACTTCGTATGTCTCTGCGTATACAATCCAGCGGCCTATTACTAACCCGTTGTAGTCGTACTCGGCCAGGCTTCCCTCTGGTCCGTCATCAATCTTGGAGTCGCCATCTTGTGTGCTTGTTTGCCGATCTATCGCCCCTGGCTCCCCAAGTTCGGCAACCTTGGCAGCATCTGGCGCAGTCACTACGGCAAGACTGCCCATGGTGACAACAGTCACCCCCTCTCCACGAATCCGATTAACTCGGCCACGAAGAGCCCCGAGTCGCGATCCACGTACTACTACCAGATGAACGATAGCCATAGCGACGCAATGCCCCTAACCCGCATTGCAGCGGATGATCGGCGGGGGTCCGAGGTGTTTTTTAAAGGGATTCGGGTACAACAAGATGTGCAGATGGTCTAAACAATGTCGGGATGGGGTTTAATGGGCCATAGATGGTGAAACTTTGCCAACGATCTTGTCTTGATGATGTTGCAAGCGTCTTCAATGGCACATTGATGAGGACCATTATGATTGTATGTATAGGTTTGCAGCTGCAGTCGAGTTCCGAAGCTCGGGTGATATGATCCATGAAAAAGTGGTATATATGTGGGGAAATAAGTTTCTCGAAATACTGCGTGGGCCGAGAAGGCAGGTGGATCAATCGAAGTACGAGCCTGAATTGTAGATTATGGACGCCCTCCACAAAGATATGGGCCAAGTAAAGTTAGTCAAATAATTAATTAACTATGGGCTGAATGAATGACCAATTTACAATTCGTTCTGGACAAATTTCGGGTTCGGTAGGTACACCGGCAACCGAATTACCACCGGCCTCGTTCCATCCGGCAGATTTTGAAACTGATAGTGGGTCAGCATTTCCTTGTGCATTCTAATAATGGATTTTCTTTATGACCTTCATACCAGTTCAGAAGATATATAAATACCTTACTGTAATATATAACTAGTACCGAGAAGTGCAAATTTCTCTATCCCCGCGTGCAAAACCCAATTTTTTGGGCCCCCAAGGTTCCCCAATGATATACTTTCCAGCCTTTTACTGCTTTTGCAATCACGCGTCATTGCAGTATGCTTGTCCTCAATGTAACATGCCGCGGCGGTGGCCTCGTCTACGGGTAAGCCTAGCCCAAAAGGCCCAGTGCCTTTCCCATCAGCACCTAGTTGTACCTACCATGGACCGGAAGCTAGGACGGAAATCAAGCTAATTGTTCGATTGCCCGCCGCTCAGGGATCGAGGGGGTGCATGTGGTCTTGTGTGCCCTGCGATTGGTGACTGCCTTGAAGGGGCATTGGTGTCAATTTCGGTGGCAAAAGACCAGTCGCGTAACAATGGAGGGACGCACAGGCTGACCAAACCATCGGCAAACTAATCACAAGTGATTTTTCCTGCTTGAATGCCTAATTTGTTCATTGCGAAAGCTCTCCGCACTGTATTTGGGGCCCAGAAGTATATCGGATCTAAAATTCATTCTAATTTACTTCTTTACCCCAGAGCACTTTCATTACTCTGTTTTTGTCACCTAGAGTAAGGCTATGTTTCAACTGCGATGGCTAGCTCGCTACACATCCGGGTTACGAATGCCTATGATGGCATGTCCCGCACATTTTATCCCGTGGTTGTTATTGGAGCGGGGGCATCAGGTATCGCAGCAGGGTGTCGACTGAAGCAGAAATGCGGTTGCGATCAATTTCGAATCTTCGACCGTCAGTCTGGCATTGGAGGTAGGTGCACGTGACAAACATAACTTTGAGCAAGAACTGGACTCATTTGGAGGAAACAGGGACATGGTGGAGCAACCGGTATCCTGGTGTGGTAAGTCTCCTTCTCCGCTCAATTGACTGTGCTGGATGCCGATATTCTTTCTAGGCTTGTGATGTGTAAGCAAGTTGATGGCTGTCCGCGAATATGAAAGCTGAAAGATGACGTTCGATAGACCGGCATTGTTTTACTCTTTCTCCTTTGCACCAAACTATCTGTCCCGAACTATCTTCCCATCCGGTCGTGACTATGTCGACTATCTGTACAATGTGGTAGAACGAGTTGGAATCGCAGATAAAATCCAGCTTAACATGGAAGTCACGTCTGCGGAATGGATTGAGGAGGATTCCGAATGGGAGCTACAGCTCTACCGGGTACATGGTCAAGAGCCATGGAGCGGAAATTCGAAAGTTGAGCGGCCAGTCGAAACCATTCGGGCCAAGGTGGTGATTAACGCTGTGGGCATTCTGGTCGAGCCAACTGAGTGGCCTCCCGGTGTTGCGGGGCGCGATGCCTATCACGGAGAACTGATACACTCGGCGCGCTGGCCCGAGAAGGTAAACTTGGATGGGAAAGATGTCGTACTTGTCGGTTCTGGCTGTAGTGCAGCCCAGATCGCTCCGGCCCTACTCCAAACCAACGTCAAATCATTATCTCAGGTCATGCGGACGCCACCGTGGCTTGTGCCGCGTGTGGAGGAACCCGGTGGACGAGAAGCCTATGCCAAGTGGGCACCACGCATATACAATGCTATACCAGGACTCGGCTTTACGGTTCGAATGTTACTCTGTGCTGTATCTGAGCTACTGTGGTACACAGCATTTCAGCGGCCGAACGGATCCCTGAGGCAACGTGAGGAGGCATCGTCCCTGGCTCACATGCGAGCACTGACTCCCACCGCATACCACAATCAACTAACGCCCAAATACCGGATGGGGTGTAAGCGCCGAATCTATGACAATGACTGGCTGCATGGGATGCACGATCCGCGTTTCTTGCTCGAATCGCGGCACTGGCGCAGCGCAGCCGACACCTCGATCACCGTTGGCGATAAGGACAACACCAAGACCTACCGTGCTGATGTGCTTATCCTCGCGACAGGGTTTGAGGCCACTAAGTTTCTACACCCAATCTCCGTCCTTGGACGACATGGTCTCTCCTTGCACGGGCTGTGGAATACTCGTGGCAGCCCGCATGCTTATCTCGGAACAGCCGTGGATGGATTCCCCAATTTCTTCCTTATTCTAGGGCCGAACACGTTTGCCGGTCATACGTCAGTCATGATGGCGATTGAAAATAGTGTTGATCATACAATGCGCATGATTACTCCCATTTTGAACGGCGAAGTTGCGAGTATTGAGCCCAAAACCGTTACTGTTCAGATCTGGTTGGCGGGTATCCGGCGCGATATGGCCACTACGGTATTTGCTAGCTGCCAGAGTTGGTATAACGGTGGAGGTGGACCTAACTCTGTGATGTATCCGTATGTGTCTCTCATTACCTCTAAGCACTGAAAAACTGTGACGTGATACTAACCCTACGTAGTCGCTCGCAGTTGGATTTCTATCTGCGATGTCGATTCCCCTGGCTGTCCAACTGGGACCGTGTTTTAACCCCTCGAGGCCGACAACAACAGTTGTTGCGTCAGGTAAAAACGGCGGTGGTAATGGGGACGCTGATTTTTACCCTGTTCTTCTACCGGTGGATGTGGAATTATGCGGTTGATAACGGGAGTGTGGATAGAGTGGCAAATATTGCAATAAGTCTACCTTGAATTTGTCGCCAAAACAGTGCAGCAGAGCCGGGGATGGGTTCTTTAATCTGCTCCGAAGATGTAATAGGAGCTATCCAAGAACATATCACTCTCTGTTGGGGTGATGCAGAATATATATCTACATATGAATCTCTTAGCTAGGGCGAGCTATGAAATTCTACCGGTAAAGTCTCGTGCAGTTCCTACCAGTCCGAGTACAGTCGGACATCAGAAATCTGTGTTACGCATCTTGCTGTACTAGCATTCCTTTTCATCAGACCTGTTTTACCACATGGTTCCTGGTGCTTCGCTTCCTTTCTTGGAACAGATGGATTTGGTTAGTTGTGTCCATTTCGAGAAATAGTGTCGCTTGGCTTCTGCAGGAACCAAAAAATCCCGGATCAGGCCTGGTCCGGGATATATATCAGATCCCAGGAACCAGGCCTCTTTTCCTAACTCAGGAAATCTGGGACTTCTATGAAAAGATGGTGCTGACTAGGCCTATCTGTCGATTGAAGTGGAGAATACGTTACTGCCAGCAGCTGGATGATTCAGCGCATACCCGATCTCCTACCTGTTTCGTATAGTAATCGGAGTATTCTCGGAGTAGCAGCCCTGTAACACGCTAAACAACCCCTGAAATATGGCCTTCTGAGCAGTGGCCTGCAGATAGCTCTTCAGACAATCAATCAATTGCTGAATGGTACAATTGGCCCTTATGAGTACTAGTCGATACCGATATCCGACAATCCGACATCATACTCAGTGACCCACTTTCCCTTGTGTTTTGTACAGTAATTTAGTATATTTGGCATTACGGTTGTCGTAACACCGTGTACTCTAGCCATGCATGGGGTATTTCAACCTGCCCCATAACATTCGTTCTTTCTTCAATCAATCAACCTTTGCATTCAAGATTGTTTCCGCTTGCTACAATTCCTCGACCTCATTCGCCTATTAGGATTACTAGCCATTACTGTCGCAGCTTGCTCCGACAACTTCTAAATTGCACTGCTTTGGTGGTTGAATTGTATTGTGATCCGATTGGGTAGCGGACCCTCGCTCTGCGAGGGTCCGTAAATATGTAATATTTGTAAGGGGCCGGTTAAGTGTAATCTGGTTCTGTAAAAGCTAATACAGTGGCCGTTCATTATTATTTGGAACTCAGTACCTCCAATTCTTACCGCCTTTAACACCGCTTACATGAAATATCTCTCTGCCACCTCACATACACGTCAACTTCCTGGCGTTAGGTCTGGAAATTTCCAGCAGGGAAATCCCTCTAGGTTTTCCTAGTGAGACTCCCTCAACTGGCAAGCCTTGCCTAAACCTTAACCAAAAATATTGCAAGCAATGTCTCCGATCTTACCAATGGCTTCGCCATACGCATTCTCGACAGTGCCCAGAGCTTTGTCAACCAGTGGCTTAACATCATTACAGAGGAGAGCACCAAGGTCGAATTTCGGAGCGTCGAGGCTGAGAGAAACAGTGATTTGGCCCTTCTCCTTTCCTTCGATATCGAGCATGACCGCCTTGACCTGACTAGGGCAGCTCCAGTAATTGGTAGTCTTGAATTTTGGGCCCTTGCAAGCGGCAGGGTTCTTCTCGCATTCCGGGCCAGATAGTCCTGGGCCGGACTGAGTTTGGACTTTGTCCACCTTGGCCGCAGCGTCGCCAGCCGCAGCGATCGCTTCTATCACTACTTTGAGTCAGTATGCTTATTTAATTCTGATTTGGACTTCAGAAGACACTAACAACCGTTCCTCTCCTTCCAGTCCCATTCCCCCCACGCGTTGTCGTAGTCACCATCGGCCTTGACAGTGAGTTTACCCTGTTCTTGTTGCGCATACGTTCCACCGGAGGTGTAGATCGTGACATCGTAGGTGTACGAATTACCAGGGACGCAGGCGGATCTCTCGCAGAAACGGTAGGCTTGTTGGTAAGCGTAGTGTGGGCTCGAGGCGCCGACGCTAACCATATCAGTGGATAGATAGACATCAAATCGACCACCAGCGTCACGACTATGGTGCTTCCATCCCTGGGCTTCAGGAAGAGCAAGTGTAGGGTTGGCCGCAAATGCAGCGACCAACATGGCCATAACAGCAGTCGAGTACATTTTCACTGTAAAGTGGCGATGAAAATGGGAAAAGATTAAGAATCTTTATCAAACAGGTATCTCTGCTTGAGACAAAAATAGAGATTGATATGAGGAAGTAGAAGCTGAGTAGCCAAGTTATGATCCTGATGATGGTTTCTGTTGAAAGTGTGAGGATATTGACGCCTCTAAATATTCCTTGACCAAATAGCTTTCATTGTCATAACGTATACAATCCGTTATATCAGGGGCTACAACAAGCGATGATGCTACTTCATTCGACCTAGACTTACAAATGCCGTATTGGGGGTGATCTTCACTGACCCTGAATACTAATCCAAGCACAATATCTAAAATGAGACATTCTGTGTCTCCACTCCTGGGCGTCACATCTTAGCGGTGGAGTTATATCTTGGCGGTAGAGTAGCAGCCGTGCGATTGTTGTTTCTGATTGGTTGGCCCCCGGCGCATGGTAATTTCTTTTGGGCGCCACGCTCTTAGGAACCAAGAAAGGTAAGCGGAGGAAGGGAAATCAGAAGACCTAGGTGGGTGATCTCTAGCGTGGAGGACGCGGCGAGGCCCATGCCAAGAGAGACGGAGCGGAGTCGAGGCTTAAAGAGAATTGGAGGACAAGAGATGCCCAGCTGAAGGGGAAAGAGAGGTAGCCGTCTGGATGGGGGTTGAACAGTGAAACAGTGAAACGGAGTCATGGTAATTTACCGATTGGCGTACGGCCAAGGAGTACAGTACATAGTGGCAGGTGCTTGTTGATAATTACGGGCGTGTCTCGTATGAGTGGCAACCTTAATGTAATCTTTGCCACCCGTCTCCGTCCACAGAATCGCTAATAATGAATAAAATGACACTTGCATGTGGAAGAAGATGTAAAGCCCTTGTCGATTCTTTGCCAAATTTGCTGATTCACGGAAATCGCTTCTCCTTCCTATTCTAGGAAAGCGGAGCCGTTCTAGATGGGCTTAGGCCTCGCCAAACGCGGGTTCGGGGCGGGTTTTCATTTTTCCAACCCGCCCACGGGTAACCCATCGCGGGTTTTGCATTTCACAAACCCGCCCGTGGGTTTTTGGAAAATGTTCGCGGGTACCCAAATTACCCATCAAAATACATAATTGATGCACAATATGTGATTAGTCAGTGTGTGTATTTTTGGTAATCTATTTTGGTACCGATTTAATATTGGAAATACAATCAGATAAGATATAACATCGGCTCCGAAATATATATATTGATAACGGACAGTAACTGCACCATGTTTCGGTCCGAATGTCTCCCACCCTATATCATCAAATGCTACAACGGGATACCCCAAACGTAAACTTAGCCTAGTCAGGCAAATGTCTTTTATGTTAAGACCATTACTCGATCTAGATATAAAAGCTGCTTAGACACCAATAAACGCGTTCCTGGGGTCGTTCACAGTCGCGCGGGTTTTGGGTACCCGTGGGTTGACGCGACCCAGAAAACGCGCCGGAAAAAAAAAGATGCAATCTACAAGGCTATATTATCTCTCACTAGACAACACCGTGTTAGATTTGAAGGCTGAACCTCGATGACATTGAAGACAGAAAAATGTCATCGCTATTAACTGATCGATCTTTGAGTCCCTTAGCCTCTATTGAACCGTCATCCGATTCCTTTCTGGACTCCGATTTCCAATCCTCGGTATGAAAATTGAGATTCTGCACTATAGAATTCCTTTCACCCTCCCCCCCAACTCGAGCGAACATGCTAAGAGACCACGTAGCCTGATAGGGAGCTCCGGCGAAGCATTGATGCATCCAGCCAACCACCCCCGCCGATTCTAAAGCGCGTAGGACCGAACCGCAAAAAGAACTGGATCTTGTACGAATCAGAGAACTCGATGGAATTTCTGATCTAGTGGGCCAAAACGGAATACGGACAAGTGCTGAATAGTGAGGGCCGGTCAAGAATCAAGTGGTCGATAGAGTCGCATTATGCTGAAGTTTGGAGACGCTTCGACCAAGTTGCCGACATCTTGACTGGTCGACCCAAGGTGATTTGCAGGACTTGTTTGACTTTGCTAGACCACCCGCAACATAAGAAGCACGGGACAAGCGCAATGGGAAAACACCAGAAATCCAAGTCTTGTCGACAGGGCCAGAAAAGAACCTACCGTCAGACACTCGCAACAAACTCCATTCAGAAAGCTTTCCTAGGGGCTTCGTCCAATTGCAAGAAATTCACTACATTGCAGCTTGAAGAAAGGTTACTGAAGACGATAGCCATTTTACGATTGCCTTTCCAGACTATTGAAAATCCCGAGTTCCAAGCCCTGCTCAATTTGGTTCACTCTGGCCCAGGAGAATTAGAAATTCCTTCGGCAAAGACTCTGCGACGTCGCTTACGTGACTCTGTTGCAGCCCAACAAGAGACTCAATTACGAGACTTGCCCGAAGATGCGAAAGTTTCTCTTGCACTGGATTGCTGGACTAGCCCTTTTCAGCAAGCATTTATGGCAATTACAGTATACTTCATCGACAAAGATTGGAACTATCGTGAAATGCTTCTTGGGTTTGAGCCTCTACACGGAGCTCACAGTGGGGTCAATCTGAACGAAGTGCTTCTTCAGGTGCTTAAGGACAGACGACTTCTGGATCGGATCTTCAGTGTGACTACAGACAATGCAACAAACAACGAGACTCTCATCCGGGCCTTGCAGGAGTCACTTCTTTCGAGCGGTGCCATTAGTACGAGGGAATCCATTGTACGCGTTCCATGTATGGCCCATGTGATTCAGCTTTGCCTGAAGCAACTACTAGGCCATATCAGAGCCGCTCCAAAGAATAAAGAAGTGAGAAGGTTTTGGTCTGACACCCAAGCTGTCTGCCTAAGAGATTCCCTAGAGCATGGCGATGTGGCGCATACTCTCGCAAAGGTATGTTTGACCCGGAAAATGACCACAGGAATTTTTGTTAAAGATTTTCTTCTCCTTATGATAGATCCGGTCTTTTGCCGTCTTTGTGAATGCAAGCCCACAACGACGAGATGCATTTCTATGTCTTCAATCGGGTGGAACTCGGCTTTTCCCCCTCCACGACGTACAGACCCGCTGGAACTCTACTTTTTTGATGCTCCGAAGAGCGCGCCGGCTCAGGAACACCATTGATAAATACTGCCGAGACCATGAATATAGCCAATTCAAAGTCACCGATACCGAGTGGCGGCAAATCGACTACCTGGTCAATATAACAAGGCCGTTCTTCAAATTTACCATGGCTCTGATGAAGACCAAAGATGTGACTATCCATAGTGTCTTTCTCGTGTACAGGAAGCTTCTGGAACACATCGAACGCTCAAACCGGAAGCTGAGAAAGAAAACCACACCCTGGAAAAAAGATATGTACGGTGCCATGCTCATGGCAAAGCAAAAGCTAAAAGATTATTACGAGAAGACCTATCGTGACCATGGATTTCTCTACGGTACAGCGGCTTTGCTTGCTCCTCAGTATAAGCTTTGTGCTTTTGATGATACAGAGTATTCGCAGTGCATTGGCGAGACTTCAAAAAGATATTGTGAATATCTGCGATCATCTTTTGCACAGTATCAACAAAGAAACCCAGAGATGCTATTCCGTGCTGTACAACGCCCTTCGTTACAAGCCTCGGAGTTAGAACGGCTTCTTGAACCAACACACGCGGTAGAAACAAGCGAAGGAGTCGGGTATGACGAGGTTGATCGTTATCTCCACGAGTGTAAGTATATCTGGCTCAATCGATCTGAAAGACCGTTAACGTTCCCAGCGACTACCTCAATACCACCGCGTGTATACTGGAGAGAGAATGAGAGTAAATTCCCCGTGCTTTCGCGGCTAGCTCGCGATTTGCTCTCAGTTCCAGCCACTGGCGCAGGAGTTGAAAGGCTGTTCAATAGTGCCCGGGATATTTGCCATTATCGCCGGGGATCTCTGAATGAGACTACGATACAAGACTTGATGATGTACATGTGCTCTGAGAAATTCACCCTGGAGAGCCAGCAATCGAGTCTGTTGGATCATAGGATGGCGGAAGGGGAGGACCAGGAAAATCTCGAAGAAAATGAGGCAAACAAGGAAACCGAAGATGAGAATGCAGCTATCAGCGATATAGACGAGAGTGATCTAGTCGAAGATACCGATATGAGCCCCACTGTTCAGAGTGTTCTGGGATTTGAAAGCACCGCCTCACAGGAGCTTCCTTCTCACAGTCGACCGCAAGATGTGACGATGACGGCTATTCGTCCAGATCCAGAGAGCGATGATGAAGATTTGTTGCCACCTCCAGTTACGCATCTGGGAGAGAGATATCAAAAAAGATCATCAGGGAGGATGACAGTGCCTTCAAGCCGACTTGAAGGCTATGAGCTGTATTAGTTAGTCTCCTCTAGTCCTATAGTTTGATGTAATCTCTTAATATAACCACTCATCCCAAGATATAGACCTTTATGTAAAGCGAGGTTGTGATTATGTTATGGTTGGGACTTTTAGAGAAGCGCAGGTTGAATCTATTCTACTCATACCGGGGCAATACGTTGATCTAAACGAATAATTTAGCATAATTTTGTGCTAGCTGACAAATCCTTCCCCTTTTGGAGTCATGGGTAATTTGGGTACCCGTATGGGTCGCGGGTTGGGTTTTCAAAAAACAAACCCGCCCACGGGTCTGCTGACTAAGACCCGCCCCGACCCGTGGGGCGGGTTTTCGTGGGCGGGTTCGGGTTTTGGGGCGGGTCTGGCGAGGCCTAGATGGGCTTATATCACGTGATGATCGCCCCAATACCTAGGTAACGCGTGCAAGGCTGTCATTAATACTTGTCGGAGCAAGCTGCGACAGTAATGGCTAGTAATCCTAATAGGCGAATGAGGTCAAGATCGAGCATTCTGAGTTGTGATCGTTCTTAGGAACTAGTTCATCCCACTAGAAGACACAATAATAGGCACATCTTAACTTGACGATTAGACCTGGCTAGAACCCGCGGGTACCCTCCACGACCCTGACCCTCACCTCCCCATGCGGAGGGTCAGGGTCCGAGACCTGGACCCGCGGGGAGGGTCAGCCCCAGGCCGACCCTCATGAGGGTTACCCGCGGGGACCCTGAGGGTCGTCAAACATAACAAACAGGTAAAAGACGTGACTGGGCGTCAATTGCATAAATTATGTAGAAACAAGCTGTATTTCATTGTAATTGTAAACTAAAAACTTCATCATTGTATAGCCTTACAGGAGGATACACTCCTTATTGCATCCATAGGTTCATCCTCGAATAGGGGTTTAATTTTTGAATGGTTTACATTACATCTATAGCATAGTGTCTAGTCATAGTTCTAACAAGCCAAGAGTCAAACTATATACCCATCCAGTAGTCTCGACTTCTTCCGTATCCTACCTGATACACGATGCTGCGTATTAGGGAAGGATAATAATAGGTTCTCCTCCGGGTTCACAAATCCATCGGCATCAGAATCTTCCTCATCACCAGAAGTGACCGCAGGCCGCTTTCCAGCGGCAACCGCTGAGAGTGGCGGTACGTTTGGGGTTGTTTGCATAATTGATACAGCAGCCGGTGTATCAAGACGCAACTCAATATCCTCCTCCTCGTCATCACTGATAGCCTCGAAGGTATGTGTCTGGACATCAAGTGCTTCTGCCGAAGCTGCTATCTCATGGTCTAAGAGATACTCTTGGAGAATCAGCCGCTGCTCCTCCTCAATATCAAATTTTGTTGTACACATGTACAACATAATATCACGAATAGTCTCTGGATTCAACGACCCCCGGCGGTAGTGGCATACATCCCGAGCAGAGTTAAACAGACGCTCAACTCCGGCACCAGTTGCTGGAATTGACATGATATCACGGGCAATGCTTGCAAGAACAGGGAACTCTCTCTGATGATCTTTCCAGAAGATCCGAACAGATCCTTTAATAGTATCTAATCAGGTGAGGTTAGTTATATGATTCATCACATAGGCTTATTTACTTACCACTCTGGAGATATTTGGTGAGCTCGTCGTACTGTGGAGCAATTGATCGTGGTGAAGAATCACCGTCAAGGGCCCTCTCTAGCTCCGATTCAGTTATTAATAACTGGCTATTAGGCTGTATCATATCTGATGGTACACGTTGGCTATATCTCTCGAAAAGAGACTGAAGACTCTTGCGGTATTCTTTTCTATAGTCCTTTCCTATCTCAGGATCTAGGTCCCAATCACCTGTTGAAAAGAACTCCATCTTACTTGATGGCGCTAAGATCGTCCCAATTGCATAAAGATTACCTTCGATATCATCTGTCTCGCCGTAGTATTTCTTCAGTTTCTCCTTCGCAGCCTCAAGGGAGGAAAGCATCAGCTGTTTCCAGTGAACTTTCTTTCGACGAAGCTGACGAATTGATCTTTCAAGATGATCAAAAAGCTTGTTATAAATCCTAAAGATAAGGTGGATACTCGAGTCTTTAGTACGACAAACTAGCATAGTAAGCGTAAAAAAGGGCTGGAGAATACAAAGTAGATAGTCAATCTGCCGCCACCCCTCAATACTCAATGCAAAATGGGTTTGGGTGTAGTCCTTGCAGTACTTGTCGAATATGTCATGAAGTCTTTTCGCCCGCCGAAGCATCAGAAATGTCGAATTCCATCGTGTACGGACATCCTGGATTGGGAGAAGCCTTATCCCAGCATTATTAGATTGAAGATTCAAGAAGGCTTCTTTGCGTTGAGGGCTTCCGTTGATATAAACTGCAAGGCCGCGAACCTATAAGGATTATTATCGTTATTGGATTATGATTCGTAAATAGAAGCTTTAAGCTTACCTTATTTAGAGTATCGGCGATCTCATGTTTCTGCTGGCGTGCACGAAGTGAATGTACACGATCTTCAGACCATTCCGTCTCGGTGTTGTTATTCTTCGGGGCGGCCTTAATTTTACCAAGTAAATCAGTTAGACTCAATTGAATAACATGCGCAAGGCAGGGCACTTGGACAATTGTAGAATCTGTCTCTTGCTGTAGCGTCTTAGTCGAATCATTCACCGCTGCGATAAGTGTCTTATTATTAGACGCATTATCAGTTGTCACCGCCAGTATACGGTCAGCGATCTGGTGCTTCTCTAGGATCTGGAGAACAACCCTACCGAGGTTCACTCCAGTATGAGATCCAGATATTGGCTCAAACCCAAGGAGAACCTCGCGATACTCCCATTCCTGGTCTAGGAAGTATCCTGTGATAGCCATGAATGCTTGCTGGAATGGAGAAGTCCAACAGTCAAGCGCAATCGACATTCTTGCACTAGATGGAAGCCGTTGTAGTGTCTCCTGTTGATGTTCTATAACAAAATCCTGAAGGCGCTCACGAATCACCTTTCTTGATGGAACACTTGGTAGTGTGGGTGCTAGCCGTGCGTAGGAAAGGAGGTCGTGGAATTCTTGATGTTCGACAAATAGGAAGGGTAAATGCGATACAGTGATCAGGTTTAGGATCTTCTGCTCCCATATTTGCTGGGTAAAGGTAGGCGCTGGTCTTCTCTCAGCCTAAATAATAGTGAAAATAGTATTAGTATTGATATTAAATATAGGCTGGTTCAAATATACCGCGTCACTAAGTAGTTGCTGGATATTACCCTTCTTCGGTATTCGCTGTCGGCACCTTAGCCCATCGAGATGTTTCTGCATCGATGAGGTTCCAGTATGGTTGGTAGTTGGGTGCTCAAGAATTGTACGGCACCGTTTGCATATAACGCCTGGCTTCCCATCTTTGGTATTTGCAACTTGTTGAAACCCTTTCCAGCACTCTGCACGACGGTTCACATCCCAGTTGATCCGCTTCTTCTTACCAAAGTCGGTTTCAAGCCACCACTGAATAAATTCTGCGGTCATTGTAGTTGTAAAGACAACGTACTCGTTGATACGGTCTGGTTTGATTCGTGTAAGAGTGTCTGGGGCCTGAGGTGCCACGCGCGATCGATGGGTTGGAAGGTCTGGAAGGTCTGGAACTGATCCAAACTGACTTTCGGATAGTAGTTGACTCTGGCTTTCGCGTTGGGATAGGGAATCGTTAGGAACAAGGTATTGTAGCGTGTCTAATTGCACCCCATCGAAGCTAGATGATGCGTAGACATCGGAGAGCTGCGACATGACAGATTTAGTAACTAGAAGATAGTACTATGACTGAGGAAGAAGAGAGTGAGGAACTTACTGTTTAATTTGTAGAAAAAGATACGCAAGATTCTTGGGGCATCCGTTCATCCCTGTTCTATATGCTAGAATTGATCTATCATCTTTTGTTTCCACATAGCTAGATCTGATTGGCTAGCATAATAAACGAACCTCAATGAACCTCAAATAGACCCTCGCTTACCCGCAGCGACCCTCAAATAGACCCTCGCTTACCCGCAGCGACCCTCAAGGGGACCCTCACTACCCGCATCGACCCTCAAAAGAGACCCTCAAGTTGAGAAAAAGTCTTGATCAGAACGACCAAGTCCAATAATTGCAATCTTTGAACCGGATTTACAACATATTTAGATTATTTGTCCTGAATTCTTGAAGAAAAAGTAATAGAAGAAGATATAACAGCTCAAATGATGTAAAAATGAGGTTATTTGAACCACGTTTTTATAGCTTTCTTAAAAAACAGTGGTTCTACAAATGAAGATACACATAGGTTACACTATCTGCAATATATATATTTACAACTTTACATGCATTTTTGTCGACAACCGCCACTGACCACCCCCTATATCGATATCATCAAATATTACTTGTAATCTGTGGGTGACCATGTCTACGGTTTACTTTTACATGAATATTTATTTATAATTCGCTATATTGATGGAGTATTCAGTAAAATATCTACAAATTGACGGAACAGCTATAAAAAACATAGATGAATCATCAATTTTATGCAACCGAAAGAGGTAAGGCGTCGAAAATTTATGCAAATGCGGGTCGTTGAGGGTCGCCGAGGGTCCGCATACTGAACCTCAACGATCCTCAGGGTAGGTTGAGGGTCGGAAGGTTGGAACCTCCCCTCAAGAGGGGAGGTTCGAGGTTCTGGGGTAGGGACCCATGCGGAGGGTCGTAGCCAGGTCTATTGACGATGAACCCAACCACGAGCTATTGTTGCACTACTGATCCTAAATCCAGGTTTCGATATACTCTGATTCGGCTCCAGGCCTGCAGCTCAAATGAAGGGTCCAGCCAATGTGGATTGCGGACTAGCGGCAACTTCCGGTCATAATTGATATCCGAGAGAAATTTCTCCTTAAATATCCACTTACTCTATTCGTCAATCAAATTTTCAAAATAGGTCTTTTCTGTTTTACTCCTTAGGATATCGAGGGTCCATGTGCTGCTCACTACATAGTGGGCCCAGACATT